AAAAATGGTAATGACAGAGAATAGTTTACTCCCCTACTTGAACATCAGAAGAAACATCCTTCTTGATTTTCTATGCACAAATGAGTTCCTCCTATCATAACCTCCAGCTACGCCCCATCTCACAAAGTTTCCAGAACCTCGAAAAATAAGCCGAGGCTGGGGACAAGCTTTCAGGACATTAGCTGTAGGAGATATTTTAGACCGAAATTGTAATATATAATAAAGACCGTACCCATATTGAATGTACCTTTTACATATATTGGGAAGAAATATAGATACCACTTAGCAAGGTGATCTAAAACAGCAAGCTCTACATAAAAATAACAGATGTTCTGTGAACAATAAAGTGCTCTCCACCTTGTCTTCTCAGATATAACCATGTTTAGGACCTAAAAAGAAGTGATTTTCAAATAGTGTTGGGCTATAGAAATCTTGAGGTCAGTAGGCAGAAAACTGTATATATTTCCATTCACAAAACATTAGAGTCTGAATTCTCTTCATAGACAGATTATAGAAATGTATATTTTTCACAACAGTTTTTTAAAGAAAATATCATGATCTGTTGCCTTATATCCTTTCAACTAATTCTATAACCCAGACTGTTTCCATGTGCACAGTCCTCATTATTTATCCTTCTGATGGGGCAGATTAGAGGCGTGTGTCACCATGACTACTCACAAATTTCATTAGCTTGTGATCATTTTCAGTAAAACGTTGAATTTTCAGAAGCAGGGGTTAGACGTCTCAGTGGATAAGAGGAACTGATGCATAGACATGTAGATCTGAGTTCACCACCCAAGTGAAAAAAGGTGAATGTGGCAGTGCACCTGTAATTCTGGTGCAGGGAGAGGGAGAGACAGGAGGACCACCAAGACTGTGTGGCCAGCCAGCCTAGCCAAAGTCTTATAAAACCCCAAGCTCCGGATTCAGTAAGAAACCCTGACTTAAGGAAATAAGAAAGAGATCAATAGTGGTCACTGGTGTCTTAAGACCTCTGCATGAGCATATATGGGTGTGTACACATGCCCATGCATATGTACACATTTGCATACAACATGCACATTCATAAAGGAAACTGAAAAGAAATGTACATTTTTGGACATCCGGAATTTGTTTGAGAGAATTACAGTGCAGGGGGCTGTGGGAATGTACAGAAGTGGTTGGTGATATATTGTGTCCCCATTAAATTGTGTACCCTAATAAACTTATCTGAGGGTCAGAGAATAGAACAGATACTAGATTAGACATAGAGGCTAGAAAATGGTGACACACATGCCTTAATTCCTATCACTTGAGAGGCAGAGATCCAGCTGGATCTCTGTGAATTCAAAGCCACACTGGAAACAGCCAGGCATGGTGACATACACCTTTAATCCCAGCACTTGAGATTTCATGTCTTGCTTGGGAAAGTCACATGCCTTTAATCCCAGGAAGTGATGCCAGGAAACAGAAAGATATATAAGGCATGAGGACCAGGAACTAGAGGCTTTTAAGCTTTTAGGCTTTTAGCAACAGTTCAGCTGAGATCCTTTCTAGTGAGGACTCAGAAGCTTTCAGTCGGAGGATTCATGAAAACAGAATTTGATGAGTTGTTGAGGTGACGTTCACTGTAGCTTGTTCTGCTTCTCTGGTCTTTCAGATTCATCCCAATACCTGGTTCCTTAGTTTTTTATTAATAAAATCTTTTAAGATTCGTGTTACAGCAGTGCCAATTAAATGTTTAACAACTCAATCCACCAGACACATGATTCCCTGTTGAAGGACCCCATTTGGCAAAGCAGTGGGGTTATTGACTGTAAATGACTGGTTGTTTTCTGTCTGTAACTTTCTCATGTGCCACCATTATACCTTCCTAAAAGAATGGCTGTGGGTGCTTTCCACAGGCCTTTGGTAGTGTGTTTTACCTCTTTGGGCATACTTATAGTTGTGGATGGTCAGGTTATGGTTTCTGTTTAAGCTGTATCATTTTGATGTATAGAAATAATACTGGGATATTTTACATTACTCAGACTGACAGGATTCTTAGTCATAAAGACAGCTATTTTTGGACTTTAGAACAAATTTTAAAAAAACTAAACTGACCCTGCAGAAAACACACAAAGACTAATTCCCAAGCATTGTTTATTGCTAAATCAAGGCCAGGCTATTGACAATGAAATATAACTCCTTGTAGTAGCCCTCTTTCTGTATGTATCCTGACCACTCAAGGTTCAGCCAATTGTTTACTGTCTGGGATCCCTCACCAACTTAGAGCTACATGCACGGGTCAACAAGACATTACTAGCCTAGGAGAAACTATATGACTTCTCTTGTGTTTTAAGAAGAGGTAGGGCCCTGAAAATGTAAACTATAATTGACCAGAGTTTGGCTGTAAGAGAGCATCGATGGTGTGGAGAGAGATAGCTGTGTAGAGCTATGTGAGAGCTGCTGCAGAATGTGAGTGAAGTGTGTGTGTGTATGTGTGTGTGTGTGTATGTGTGTGTGTGTGTGCGCGCACACACACACACGCACACGCACATACTGAGTGAGAAATGAAGACGAAGAAGCATGAGAGAAGTGTGAGGGAGTAAGTAGGTGAAATAATGAGTGAGTAAAAGTGAGTGACCAATGTAAAAGAAAGATGTGTGAGTGAGTGTGTGTGAGAGAGAGAGAGCTGTGGCAAAGAGCTGCTGTTACATAGTGGAGCTGTGCCTAGTGTTGCATGGTGAGAGAGCTATATAAATGAGATGTTTAACTGTGGCTGTGTGGAGATTTGTAACTGTGTGGAGACTAGGAAGATTAAACTGTTTAGAAAAGAGAGGTAGAAGAGAAAAGTATGTAAGAGAAAAATGGGTAGCCATATGAAAAGTGTATGTATGTAAAGAAAGATATGTAGCTGCATATATAAAAGATATGTAGCTGTGTGTATGTATATATAGAAGCTGTATGTATAGAAGATATGTAGCTGTGTGGAGACAGAGTCAGAGACCATTCTTAAGATGAAGTAAAAGAGAAAGTTATCATCAGAAAGCATGTGTTTTCTTATTATTTACCCCTCAAATAGAAAAAGTCTAGCCTTCAGATAGAAAAGAATTTTTCCTAATCCCTAGCCACTCTGAGGTCTTCTATACACAAGTCTGGAGCAGATTGTGGCAGCTGTCCTCTCATGCTCTACCATATTATAGTATATGTAAGTTTATTGTTAATTTACAAATTGATTGTAAATATGCTATAAATAATTAAATTATTCAACAATAAGTCAATAAAGAAACATTATGATTAAAAAGAAATGCCCAAAGCAATAGAGGCACTGAACATACATAACATTGGCCTAGAACTTTTTCTTCCTCTCCCCCTTCCTTCCTTCTTTCCTTCCTTCTTTTCTTCCTTTCACTCAAGAAAATAGGCAGAATTTTCTGACACTCATTTTTTACTCCAGAATAACATTATACTTATGGAAATATTGACAATAATATTAAGACATCACCTAAAGACATGGTACCCTGTCTTTACTCCTGCTGCCATCTCCACACCACACTCATCAAAGCTAAGCATCCATGAGTCAGTACATCTCTCAATACTAGAGAAGCTTTTTTTGCAGCAGATGTTGATGCACACTGAGACCAACAGTACATGGGTTATAGAAAGTAAGTGATTGCTCTCTTGCTCAGCCCTAAATAGAATAACCATAGTAAAAGCCCCTCCAAATGCTCAGGTATCACATCAGAAGAGAAAATAGAGTGAAAGAGCCAGATGTGGCAAATGACTACAAGAAAACAGCATTTGAAGGGGATTTGTATATATGAAATCATAGAGATTGTGGCAGCATGTATAAAATCTGCACAAGCTCAAGTCATACAATATCCCAGCACTGGTGGAGGGTTCACAGAATCCCACCCCTAGCTAGGAGCTATTGTATTAATAGCTCTTTAAAGTCAGCCATCCTTCTGTGGATGGTCCACAAACAAGAGTAAGTAAGTGAGTAACACAAAATGAGCTTAATGAGTTTTTAAAACTGAATGAGGCCTCAACATGAAGTGAGTATGGGATAGGGAGGTGGATTGAGAGGAGATGAGAGAGGAGAATTAATATTATACAAAGACAATGTATGAAATTATCAACTAATTAACAAAATATCTTTAAAAACCCAAACAGCCAATCTTAATCTTATTGTTTATTATTGCTATTTATACCCTATGCTTTATTTAGCTTCTTAATTTTTTTTCCATAGACATTTTTGTTCTTTGGAATTCCATCCTAGTTATCTAACTGAAGTTAGTTTCCATGGCATCTTGGCCTCCTGTCTACTGTCTAGATTTCAGTTATTTATAGTAGTTACAGAAATTTCAACTTGTATCCTTATGAAAACAACCCTTTCAACTATTCTATAAATTAAAGTTATTATTATGTACCTTATTTTATCTTTAATCCTACAATTGATACTCATTTCCAACTTTACTTACATCAACATGTTCATTTCTAACGCATTCACTGTGGTTATATCTTAAAGTGTCACAAAATAGTAAGAAATTATATGAGTAACAACTTTTTGTATTTCTGTGTCTCTGTGTGTATGTGTACTAATGTATGGATGCCCAAGGAGGCCAGAAGAGGGCATGAGATTTGTTGGAGCTAGAGTGACAGGCAGTTGTGTGATACCTGACAAGTGAACACAGGTCTTCTCCAAGAGCAGTAATGTGGTCTTAACTGCTGAGCCATTGATCCAGCTCTTAGGTAGCAACACTTAAGAATAATTACAAATCATTATCTTTTTCTCCAACTCTTAATAAAAATGAAAAAAAAAAGACTAAATCAATGTTTTCTAGGATTTCAGAAACTATTATCCAATTGGAAATATTTGTAAAAACCTCCTACAACCACATCTCTAGGCCTTGGATTCTAAGCCCTAACTTGATCGTTGTTACAACTTCAATGAAAAAGAAAGAATTGTACTTATGGGAATTAATAAGAGTGTTATAAAAGCGATAATAAAGGAAACTTTAATTGTTCTTGCCTCACAGCAGCTCATCCCTTGTGGAAAGAAACCTTGAGAGAATTTCCTTTTACATATATTTTTAATAAAAACTCACTATGAAACGCTATGTGACAATAACATCATTCAGGTAAGTGCCTTGGGAAGCCATGGGGGCAATCAGGACGAAGAATTTGTATGAGCATGTGAAATACTCAGAATTAGAGATTTGCCTTCTGACCCCTTAAAAATGTTATTTTTGCTTTGGATTATCACTAAAATGAAGAGCGATTTCATATAAGAGAACTGGGCCTATCATTCACATTTCACAGTGAAACAGGTCTCTAATTAAAGAAAAAGTTAGCATGCACGTGTTGCATTTCTCTTCACACCATTCTAGCTCAGAATTTTAGAGGATCACCATGAACTCTAGAACACAGATACTGTCAGAATTTCTTCACACTGGCAGTGATCACTCATATTACTCAATAATACATAAAAGACAGGAAGGACCTGACCATTTTCATCTTCCTATCTATACTTATTCCATTTGTATGAGTTTTGATGTTAGCAAAATTGCATTTAAAGTAGCATGCAATAAATCTAATACTGATTTGTTACTGGTTGTACAGATACTAGGTGCAGGTTACATTTATATGAGCACTTTTGTGGGTAATTTCAATTTACAAAACACAGTTATTAAATACACATACAAATCACTGTGGTTCATGCAATGCTGTTTAACTTGTGTGTCTATTGTTTTTGTCATGTTGACTCCCTTGTTTCTTTTAATAAATCTTTTGAAATGGTTAACTTACTTACCTTACTATTCCTATGAATCCATACTTTAACCCAAAATGTGGTTATAATACTTATCACTGAAAATTGTGCAGACCTAGGTTACTTCTGCTAATACTTCTAGCCTTGGTTTCCATTTAAAAGCACCCACTGGACCCATTCTGGGCCAGACTACAGCAACCATGCTCCTGTGGACCTGCCATCATAGTGTGTTGATGGTCTGTCTCCCCTTCCCCTTCTGTATTAGAGCATTTTGAGGAGCAAATGTCACTGATATATTTTTACCCTGAATTCTCACAACAGCATTTCTGCTTATCACCATTAAATGGTTTTAGTGACAGTTTGCATTCACATCCAAGTAATACCTTCTTGAAACATTAACTTTAGTTAGGTGTTCAGTATCGTAGCCTCACAATATCACAATAATTTTGTGAGTGATATCAGCTAAGTTACTGAGAAAGTCTATTTTCAAGACAAGCTGAAATATAAATTCATACAGAATAATAACTCACATTTTCTAACCCTAGGACACAATTTGTTTCCTGGGTTTGTATAACTAGGAAGTACTGTTTTCTATTTTTGTGGATAAATATAACTGTGCAATGTGCAGAAAATGACTAAGGAGATTTAGCAAACACTTTAGATAATGCAGAACAATTTAAATGTATTACTGTGATAACCTAGCAAGACTACAGTGAAACAAAGATTCTGGATATGCCTTAGGAGTCTCATGTTTCCTTGCATTCTTGAAAAATAACACATTTATTTTCCTAAGGAAACCTTATTTGAAATGACATGGAGAAACTTGGAGGACACCATGCAAAGTGAAACAATACAGTAGGAAGAAGAAGAAGAAGAAGAAGAAGAAGAAGAAGAAGAAGAAGAAGAAGAAGAAGAAGAAGAAGAAGAAGAAGAAGAAGAAGAAGAAGAAATGCTGAGTTATTTTACATATATAGGGTAAGCATAAAAAGTCAAACCCAAAGCAAAGAACATAAAATTGATTCCCAGAGTAAGGGGTGGGACACATAGGGAGGATTTGTGCAATTACTACTAATTCTTACTAATTTTACATGAATAAAGTATGATGCTTGTGCTTCTTAGTAAGGCATTACACTTAGAACTTAAGGTAGATTTCCTCTTAATAAGCATTCTAAACACATTTAAAGAAAGCAAGCAGCCAGACAGTGGTGGTGCACCTTTAATTCCAGCACTTAGGAGATGTAGGCAGGTAGATCTCTGTGAGTTCAAGACCAGACTTATCTACAGAGCAAGTTCCAGGACAGCCAAGGCTACACAGAGAAACCCTGTCTTGAAAAATCAAAAAATGAAAGAAAGAATGCATGCAAAATTTGGTCTAAAACTTCTGGTAGAGGATACATATATGATTACCTAGATTGTGGTAACAGTATTGTCAGATTGGGATGTGCATGAACTGATTAAATTATGTATATTAAATAGTCATTGTTCGATATATGTCATTTCTACTCAGTAGCACTATTAAGATATATACAAATAAAACTTCATTTCATTAAATCATTTAAGTATTTTGCTGACGACCTATTCTTCTCTAACACTCATCAGACAAGATTAGACTAATCAACTAATTCAGGGGAGGTTGGTTCTCTGGCAAGTTCAAAGGCATGCATCTAGACAGATGGCATTAGCAGAACAGAATACAAAGCTGCAGGACAGGACTCAGAGATTTTGTCAGAAACAGATTCGGGTAGGATTAGTTAACTGCTGTGAGTCAGGCCCCCTAACTGCTGTCAAAGCCACAAAGACTTTGCAAGAGATAATGCAGATCTTGTGATGAGGACTAGTGTTTCCTGAGACAGTTTGTGAGGCCAGGGTGGCAGAAAAAGCACTCATCTGGCTGGTGAAACACTCAGACTTGTATAACGGTATGTGTTGTATGCTGACTAACACAGCGCCATAATGATGTGTGTTGATCTGTTGTACGCTGATTAGCATAGTTCCCCATTCAAAAACAGACACTAGGTAATGATCAGGAATTCGTTTGTCTCCAGTCCCTGGATGCTTGGAAGTCCAATGTCGTGTTATGGTAAACAAGAAAGGACAAAGGGTATACACACTAGAACACTAGAGTTCAAGCTCATTCAGTTGTTAGGCGCCCATACATGTGACAACTAGCTTACTTTCACCTTACTTTCCCACAGCACTTGGCAGACAGCTCTTTCTGTCTGTATCAACTGCTCTATTCTTGACACTGTAAATTGGGTCCTCCAATATGTGGCCACCCATACCTGGTTCATTTCACTTAGAATGCGTCAGACTCACAGTGTGACAACTCTCATGACCTCAGGCTTTACTGAGTGCCCCATTTTATGGTCAAAGTACACCATACCTGTCCATTCAACCATTGGTATCATAAGCACTTTTCTATCAACTCATATACAAAATTTCATGTTGAAATATTTTCAGTTCTTGAGGGTATGTATCTATCACTGAAACTGTTAAGTACATGTTAACCTAACAGCTTTTTACTTTTAAAGCAGTGCTGTTTTCTAAATACTGTATATCATTTTAAAATTCCAGAAGAAATGTGTGAGAATGATATTTTTTCACTCCCTTAACAATACTTACTGTCTTTTTATTTTAACTTTTCCAATTGGTATGAAATGATTTTCCTTTATGGTTTTGATTTGAAGTTCCTTAACCAGTGATAACAGAGAGATTTTCAGGTGATTATTGGCCATGTGTGCATCCACAATGGAAGAATGACTATTTGCATTCTTCTGACCATTATAAATAGCATTACTTGTCATTTAATGGTTATGTTGTGTGAGTTATTTATGTACAGTACCTATAATTTCTTCAAATATATTCTTTGAACTTTTTTCTTATTCTGTGTGTCATCTTTTCAAGTTATATGTTATGTCTTTTAAAGCATCTTTTAATTTTTAATAATGCTCAGCTTACTAACTTTGATTGTCTTTGCTTTGGCATCTTAAATAAGAACGATTATCAACTCCAAGCTTGCAAAGATTTAGTCTTGTGGTTTATTATTATTATTATTGTTATTGTTGTTATAGCTTTGGCTCTTACGTTTATTCCAGTACCCATTTTAAATTAATTTTCTTGATTCAAAGGAGTTATCTAATTATTACAGTAGTATATGTTGAAAAAATTACTATCCCTCCTGAAATGTTATAAAATCTTTATACGTAATGCTTTTTTTCATAGATGTTTATTTTGAAAATATTAATTTCATTTCATAGTGTACCTACTATTAAGTCAATATGATACCATCTTGATATTGTAACACTTAAACAATTTCCAATAGGAAAAAGTAAGATCTCCCACATTATTCCTGTCTTTCAAATTTACTCTGATTTTACTCCTGGGCTCCATACATTCTCTAGGCAATCTATTGCCATGTGTCAATATCTACAATAACAGAATTGTGATTTCACAGCTATTGCACTGAGTTTATATGACATTTTAGAACTGTATTTTCCATTTTTACAATGCTGAATCTTTGAATTCCAATTACATAGCTCTTTAATTCCTCTCAACTTCTTATGGTTCTAAGTACAATGTCTTACATTTCTGTCACTCATTCTTGAGAATTTTACAAGATTACATATTTTAAATAAGTTTTATGATTCTTGAGTTTTCTTATTGATCTTTTCTTCCACAGCCTCACTGACTTTATATACAAATTTAATAGGTACATGATTGGGTTAAAATTTTCTGTATAGAACATTGTTATTCACAAGAAGACACAACTTCACATTTGCTTGCCTATAAAAGATTTTTCTTTTTATTTGAATGATTAATTGACAAAATTAAACCTCTGATTAAAACCAGGTGGTGGTGGCACATGCCCTTAATCCCAGCCCTTGGGAGGCAGAGGGAGGTGAATCTGTGAGTTCAAGGCCAACCTGGCCTACAGAGTGAGTTCCAGGACTTCCAGGGCTGTTACATAAATAAACCCTGTCTTGAAAAAAAATAAATAAACAACTCTGATTCAATACTGAATGAAAGTGCAAGGAATTTTTATTTTACTTGTATTTACTTAATTAAGTTACCATAGGAGACTTCCAGTATTATTGTTGGAGTCTCTTATGGATGATATACATATTTGAATATGAAATCTTCATATAGAGAGTAGATGAGCTTATTATGAGTAAGGTATGTAGAGTCCGGTGTTGATACAAATGTAAACTATTTTTATATTCCTGTTTAAGATAATTTGTATATTGATACAAATACAGAACTATATTTGCTATAATGTACATATATTTCTATTCTTATTTGAAACATTTTTATATTGATACAAATGTAAATTTATATCTGTCATACTTTATATATGCTCTACTTCTGTTTAGGATATTCGGTATATTGATATATATTTAAGATTATTGTCATATTGCATATTGCACTATACATTCCTACCTCTGTTATAAATATCTTGTGTATTGTCACAATTTTGAAGTCATCGTCCTTACTGTACATTTGCTTATAGACTATTTACCTTGTTTACATGAAGCCTTAGTCCTTAGGTTATTTTGGTAGATAAGACTTATAGATTTATAGTCACCTATGCTTGTCATCTCTATAGTTACATTAGTTAGGTTATCCAGATTTACAGACACATAGGTCGAAGGGACAGGTAATCTTAAAACACTTCGTAGACCTAGAGAATATGGCATTTAAATAACTTAGAATTCTGTTGATGTGAGACACAATTGCTCCTGGGAGCACCAATTTGATCCCAAGACAATGTTGGGCTTCTAAGACATTTCCAGTTGGAAGTTTGTCTTCTTGGCACAAAATGGCCTATTGGGAAAAGAACTGTCCTTGCCTCAACTGCTGACAATATGAATGCTGTCCTTCTGGACAAGCAGGACACAAGGAAAAGTGACTTCTGAAATCTGCCAAGACAGGGTAAGATGGTCTTTCAGAATTCCTGCTTCTGAAAATGGTCTGTCAGATACTCTAGGCCTGTAGCCA